AGCAGCAGCAGCAGCAGCAGCAGCAGGAGTGTGCCTGGGCCTCTATCTGCATTATTAGACCAATTAGCCTCTCTTAAAGATCCAAGAGCCAGGTAACACCAGCAGCAGCTTTTAAGAACCCACAAGGGGCCCCTAGGGGGCCCTTAAGGGGCCCCCAGCGGGCCCTTGGGGGGCCCCCAGGGGCCCCCAAAAGGGCCCTGGGGGGGCCCCCAAAGGGCCCCAGGGGCCCCAAGGAGGTCTTGGGGGCCCTTAAGGGGCCCCGTGGACTTTCAGGGGCTTCTTTTAGGGTTTTTTTCAGCAGCTTCGCTGCTGCTGCTGTTTCTGCTGCTGCTGCTGCTGCTGCTGTCGCTCTTGCTTCCAGACTCCAGGCTCTGTTATTCGCGTTGTCGCTGCACAAGCTCTCTACTGCTGCTGCTGAACTTGCTGCTGCTGAACTTGCTGCTGCTGCTGCTGCTGCTGCTTCTGCTGCTGCCGCTGCTGCTACAGGATGCAGCACTTGATGGCTCTTGGGTCGAATGCGCAGCGCCTACACCCTCGCTTGAGAACCCCCGCAAACAAAGTTCAGGTGCTGCTGCTGCTGTTGCTGTTGCTGCTGCTGCTGCTGCTGCTGCTGTTGCTGCTGCTGTTGCAGCAGAGGCCTCTGAGTGGTCTTGTGATGCGCAGGGCTGCATAAGTGAGGTGTATGTACATTGCAATCCCCGCCGCAGCAGCAGCGGCGAGCTGCTGCTGTTCTATGAAGGCGAATCAAGTCCGTTGCTGCTGCTGCTGCTGCTGCTGCAGTTTGCTGCTGCAGGTGTTGCTGTTGCCGTAGCTAGCTGTTGCTGCGGTTGCTGCTCTGTCGGGCTGCCGTGGCTGCTGCTGCTGCTGCTGCGGCAGGTGGTGTTCTGCGCGCCTCTTTGTGCTGCTATTTCCATTTGCTTCTTGCTGCTGCTGCTGCTGCTGCTGCTACTGCAGATGCAGCGCTGACAGCCGGTCTGCTGCAGCTGCTGCTGCAGGGTCTGCGCGGCAGCAGGCCGTCTGAAGTACTGGCGCTGCCCTTAGACATTTTGAAGCGAGCCAATCTGCAGCAGTTTGTAGCAATCAGGTGCTGCTGCTGCTGCTGCGTTTGCTGCTGCTGCTGCTGCTGCGTTTTCTGCTGCTGCTGCTGCTGTGCTTGCTGTGATTGCCACGGCTGCTGCTGCTGCGTGTGTAGCTGCTGCCCTTGTTGCTAGGAGTCTGCTCCCTGGAACTGCTGCCCTTGCTGCTGCTGCTGCTGCTGCTGCTGCTGCACCCCCAGCACACTTGCTGCCCTTCTTGCTGCTTCTGTTTCCGCTGCGGTGCTGGTTGTCACTGGTGGTGCTGCTGTTGCTGCTGCTGCCGCCACTTTGCTTTTACTGCTGCTGCTGCTGCAGTTGCCTCCCACAGTACGGCTGCTGCTGCCGCTGCTGCTGCTGGGCTAACTACACTTGCCTTTGCTGCTGCTGCTGCTGCTGCTGTGCTCTGCAGCCGCATGAACGGCTTTGTCAACATATTACGGAAGATGAAGCAACAGGCAGCAGCAGCAGCAGCAGCTGCTGCTGCTGGTGCTGCTGCTGGTGCTGCAGCAGCACAACCTTAGCCAACGTAGGGCGAGCGCCAGTGCTGCCTGCTGCTGCCGTTGCTGCTGCTGCAGCAGCAGCAGCAAACGTAGCATTGCCGCATTTGTACCACACATTGACGGACAGCAGCAGCAGCAGCAGCAGCAGCAGCGGCTGTTGCTGCTGCAGCAACAATTTCTTTTTCTTTCTAGTCTCTGGCTAACTGCAATGTTCCTTCGCTGCTGCTTTTTCTTGCTGCTGCTTCTTTTGTTGCTGTGTCTTTTTGCTGCTGCTTGCTTTTGCTGCTGCTTCTTTTTGCTGCTGCTTCTGCTGCTAAATTGCTGCTCTCCTTGTCTTTCTTTTGCCGCTGCTCTCTTCTGTTTTTGTCATTTTTTATTTGTTTTAATTTCTTTTATTTCTTTCTAATTTCTTTTTGATTTCTTTTTGATTTCTTGTTGATTTCTTTAAATTTGTTTTTTATTTACTTTTATTTCAAGGATTTCTCCTCGCCCATTTGCATTCAAAGACTTCAAATTAATTCATAAAATAAAAAACAAAAATTAAAAACAAAAATAAATAAAAACAAGATATCAAAATCAAAAATAAAAATGAGTAAAAAAACAAAAATAAAAAATAAAAAAAATAAAACATCGTAAATATAAATACTGGAGCATGAAAGAAATGAAAACAAAAATAAAAATAAATAAATTTAGAAACAAATGAAAGTAAAAATAAACATAAAAATAATAAAAATAAATGAAAATAAAGATGCAAAGGGTGAACAAAAACAAAAAATTGAAAAGTAAAAAATAAAAATGAATTAAATAGAAAGTGAAGTTGTGAGCAAATAAATTCGAAATATTAAAAAAGAAATAAAAAATAAAAATCGAATAAAATAGAATTAAATAAAAATGAACTGAATAATAAAAGTAAATGGAGATAGACAAAAATAAGAATAAATATAAAAATAGAAGTAAATAAAAATAAATCGTCTGATAGAATTAAATAAAAAATAGAAAAAAAAATAAAAAAAAATAAATGAAGATAAAATAACGTAAAATAAATAAAAATAAATAAAAGAAAGTAAAATGAATAAATGCAAAAAGAATTAAAAATAACAAAAATAAAAAAAAAATAAAAATAAAAAACTTCATGAAGAAGTTGCTGTCTCTTTTGGTTTCCTTTTTAATTCTAATTTAAATTTAATTTAAATTAAATTTAAATTAAATAAACTTAATCTAAATTTAATTTAATTCCAACTTAAATCTAATTTAAATTAAATTAAATTCAAACTCCTCTTTTATTCTTACTTCTGTTTTGTTTTTGAGCCGCGGAAACAAAAGACAGCAATTGGCCCCAACCCGCGAGGGTTTAGTTTAGAGTTTGCAGCCCAGGGTTTAGGGTTTGCAGCCCTAGGGTTTAGGGTTTAGGGTTTAGGGTTTGCTGTTTAGCTACAAACGGCGCTGTTCTACCAGCAGCACGTTTCCCTCTCCACGCTGCGCTGCTCGTAGCAGCAGCAGCAGCAGCAAAAAGAGCAGCAGCAGCAGCAGCTGCTGCTGCTGCTGCTGCTGCGGCTGCTGCTGCTGACGGCTGCTGCGCTGCAGCTATAGCACTAAAATTAAGTCGTTACGAACCGACCAGACCTCCGTGCTGCTGCTGCAGCAGCAGCAGCACAAACTAGCGCTGCAGTTGGCGCTGCAGCTGTAGCAGCAGCTGCAGCAGCAGCTGCAGCCGCAGCAGCATTTGCTGCAGCAGGCTAGCCGGCAGCCTTTGCTGCCGCCTACACAAATCGGGGAGCAGCAGCTGAGCCAGCAGATGCTGCTTCGAAGGCAGCAGCAGTTTGCTGCAGAGGCACAGCAGCAGCAGGATACAGCTGCTGCTGCCACCCATAGGGCCCCGCAGCAGCAGCAGCAGCAGCAGCGCTTTTCTCTTTCGCCAGCGCCATGAAAAGCGCAGACATCCCGGTATCAAAATCCGAACGAAACTGCTGCTGCTGCTGCTGGTAGTGTCCTGCTGCTGCTGCTGCTGCTGCTGCTGCTGCCGCTGGGTCCTGCTGCAGGCGCTGCTGGAAGTCCCTCACTAGATCCCCGCTGCCGTTGCTGCTGTTGCTGCTGCTGCTGCTGCTGTCGTACCAAATCCACCGCCACAGCCACGGGAGCCCCGTGCACCGCAGCAGCAGCCTTGCGAAGTTTCCTGCTGCTGCTGCAGGGCCTTCTGCTGCGCTGCTGCAATTTGCTGCTGCCAGCAGCAGCGCAACAGCAGCAAGCCCCGCTGCTGCTGCTGCTGCTGCTGCTGCGCGTGACCAGTGGTTCGTGAAGTCATCATAATTGTGGCTGAAGTTGTGCAGGCGGTGGGGTGTACGTACAGCAGCGTTAGCTGCTTCGGCGAGCTGCTGCTGCTGCCGCTGCAGCGCCTGCTGCTGCAGCGCCGTCAGCTGCTGCTGCTGCTGCACTGAAAGAGCATGCAGGCAGCAGTCTTTTTCGTTTAAACTTTCCACCAAGGATCTTATAGCTGCAGCAAGAGCCCCTACCCTGCAGCGAGCCTCATCAATGGCCCCGCTGCTGCTGCTGCTGCTGCTGCTGCACTTGCTGCTGCTGCTAGCGTTCGTCCACAGCATGCGCCGAAGGCGGTGTCCGATGCTGCTCTGCTGCAGCTGCGCCCACGCAGCAGCAACAGCAGCAGCAGCAGCTTCTGGGGTCTCCAGCAGCACGAGGCTGGGGTGCTGCTGCTGCTGCCGCTGGACGCTGAGCTGCAGCAGCTGCAGCATGCCGCGGCTGCCGTCAGCAGCAGCAGCAGCAGCAGGGCCGCTGAGAGAACTTGCTGTTGCTGCTGCTGCTGCAGCAACTCCTGTGTCCGACAGCAGCGGAGCGGCAAAAAATACAGCAACAGCAGCAGGAACCTCCAGCCAGCCCTGGGGCTCAGCGCCAGCAGCAGCAGCAAGTCTTGCTGCAGGCGACAGCTGCAGCAGCATGGAGGAAGCAGCGGCAGCAGCTGCTGCTGCTGTCGCCTCTGATGCCTCCTGAAGGCTCTCCATCAGCCAGCGCCAGCCCCTTGCTGCTGCGTTGCTGCATGCAGCAGCAGCAGCAGCAGCAGGAAACAGCAGCTGCTGCCAGCCAGAGGCTGGTGCGTCTGCTGCTGCAGTCCGGAGCCCTGCAGCCCCAGCAGAAGCAGCAGCAGCAGCAGGACCTGCTGCTGCTG